ACGCACGGTCGGCGCTCGCATCGAAAGGGCGTATTCGCTTCTTTCGTCCGGAATACGCTCGTTCTAACCGCGAATCTTTACTGTACAGGCATAAATTTCCTTTCAGATGGGAAATGAATTATGGAGGAATTAAAACGCTGTTGCATACATTCATGCGTCACACGTTTACGAGCGATCATCATGCGACTCGAGCTGGAATAAATTACGCAAATTGTATTTTATTAGCCGATGAAGCCAGGCTCGAAGGCACGGGATATTATTTTTCACGGTTACCCTAATGCAATTAAGGAGGGACAGATCGATCGGTTTCGTGATTTTCTGGTGTATCCGAGGTTCGAACCTGCACGCGATTCGAGCCTCGCTTTTCCCATTCGAACGTATGAAAACGGCGGATCGTGCGGCCGGCATGATAATGCCTTCCCGTTGGCCGGCTCGATCCGAGAAACCCGCGCGCATCGGGAAGCCGCGTCGTCGCCAGAAAATTCCAGTCACCTCGCGACACGATCTCGCGAATAAGCATTATCCCACTTACAGAGAAATCGTCGCTGATGTCATTTGTCTAGCGCAGCGCCGGCAGCCGTTCGCCGGGCAATTAATCTTTGATCCGTAACTTCGCTCGTTTACTTCGCGCGGCGAACAAATATTATTCAACCGGACTTTTGCATCTTCGATCGTTAACGAGGTACGCGACAACAATTTCCCGGCGAGGCATGAATACGTCGACGTGTCTCCGTTGATTTATTTAGAACAACTACGGTAATCGATCATGACATGCGAGAAATTTGAATTTCAAACGATCGGGCATCTGAAATTTCATGTTCCCTCCCCGTTCCGCTTAATGGAATATGATTTTCTCTTTTATCGAGATACGAAGCACCGCTTAATCCTCCATTAGAACCGACGCGCGTACGCGTCTGCGATCTATTAGCAAGCCAAACACGCGACGATGTACGCAGACGTAACGCTGTTTTCGCAGACGCGCCTCTCCGCGTTGGAAAACACTCGACTCGAGCCTGCCCTCCGCGAGCCGCGCACTTGCTACGTCGCCAGACACGGAAGAAAAAGTTTCGCAGATTAAATGACTCCGGTCCCATTTCGCAGCGAGCGATCGAGAGTTACGGTTCGCTGTCTTCGTGACTGGGCGGCCGGTCACGCGACGAAGTGCAAAAAGCCTGGTGAAAAAATGAGCGTGTTTAACCGTGTCGTGTGAATGTCATTCGCAGGAGGTCACGTAACGAGTGCCCGCAAAATCGGGCACTTAATTATCTCGAGTGCACGGAAACAGAGTAAAGTTGGTAATCAAAAGTATAAGAAATCTCGAATGAATAAAGTTGTCGTTAAACCTGTCGTTGAACTTTTTTTCACGCTATCTTTACCGAAAGCGTCAGATGGCACCTGATATTTGATCTTAAAATCATTTTCCGACTTTATTCGTACATTCTGAATTGACTTTTCGACTGTTCTGATAACGATTATGAAATTAACTACAGGAAACGTCGAAAATTCAATCGAGAACAAATTATTCAGCTGAGAGAATAATTTTAAGTTAAAACTTCGAAAGCCGTCTTTCGACAACTTCGATAGAAATAGTGTTGAAAGTGCAAACCGAACAATTGTTCGGAGATATCATTATCCTTTTAGCTTCGTTATTCGAGAATATATCTGTATCCCAATTAGATTTCATCTCGTTCCATTATTAATTCCGAGAGAACTGGTTCTGCGGTAAACGCAGCTAATGTAGGAAACGCTCGACAAATGGGATCTAAGGACGTCGGGACAGGAATAGATATCCTTGCGAGAGTTTTCGCGCGTTCTCCAGGATCCAGTTCATCGGCATTAATAGTACGCGACGAGAAGTCGCGGCGAAGGTTAGTCCCGCCGGTGTGCCGGCTCTTTCATGATTTTATATTCAGCACGATGCTAGAAACGTGGCTCTTACAGCTGCTTTCCTCGGCCGGTGTCACGCGAATCTCGAACACGTGGCCGCATAAAAATCGATAAGCCGTCTAACGAGTACATTTCAATTGAATCGCATCATCGATATTTTTCAGCTGTCTCGGATCTCATCGTCTCCTTTACGCGGGCGCAAGAAACTTGATTCGTCGTGACGCTTTCGCGAAAGCAATTAAAACGTCTCTAATAGTCTCTCCATTCCCGATCCTTCCTCGATACACGTATGTTAATTAACGTAATTTCGTTTCTTGTCGGTAAGACTTATCAATGCCAACTTATCCTTCCAACGTCGATGGAGGAATTACGGAAGAACCGAAAGGAACGAATAACATTTCACCGTGCACGTAGTAATAGGAAAACTGATAATCGTTGCGAGAGGAACTCTTTCGCGGCGGTTCTTTAATAAACATTTAATAACGAGTTCATTCCTCGCGCTTATAACTGCTTCGTCTTCGTTAACTCGCGTATTCCTGTATACGAAATGGCACCGCATATAAAGCTTCGCATTACAGAGAAAGATGAATCATAATTAACGAATACGCACTCGCACGGTTGAACCGCAGGAGTCCGCTGAAAATAAGTATCAGATCTGATCAATCTCCTCGCAGAGGCAAGACGAAACGGAATGAACACAACGAAGCTTTGTTCAATTTCTTCCGCTCGAAGTCCGACGGAACTTTCCCGTTTCGAGGTGCAGCGACATTCCTCATGCAAATGAAGGAGTCCTTGCGAGTCTAAGCTCCCGGAGTGTCCTCCACCGAGAAAAATATAATCAATCCAACGGCGTTCCAGGTGTACGCGTCCCGCATCCGATATCCGCGATTGTCGTGCGCCGGTCGGTCTGCCCGTAACGATCCGCTGGCGTGAAATCGGGTAATTAGAGGATTACGCTGTTCGGTGGCGCAAGTGGGCGAGCCACGGGCGCAGGAGAAAAAAAAGGGAAAGAACCGCTCGCGGGATCCAGCCGGAGCATTCCTGCGCAATTATAGTTTCCTTTTATCGCGTCGATCATGCAGCTAGATCGGCGGATCCGGTTTTCCACGTAGCCGCGAATGTGTAATACGCGTTCATTAGCGGTCCCGTTGAAAGCGGCCGGCATGGAGATCGACAATATTCCTCAGCCTTGATCGATTCGCCCGTCGATTGGCCAACGCGACGTGAGAACCGCGCGATTTCATCGCGACTGTGGATTCAGTGTAACGGGAAAAACGGAGGGAGGCGGAGGGGAGGAACGGAAGCGGGATACAGGAAACGGGAAACGTTTGTTTACGCGCTCGCGGGGCTCGTTAATCGCCGTATCGTTTCGAACACGTCGACCGGAATAGTTCGTTAACGACGCCTGACGGGATCCACGCGAAAAATCACGATGTCTGCCCGCGAACGGCGAACAGCGTTTCGTCGCGAGTGAACTGGTGCATATAACTGGAACCCCGATGTCCCGCTACGCGTTATGGGAAACCGGCACGTTTTCGCCACGCGATGCTCAAAACTGCCGTCGCGAATTCCTGCGGCGCGATATAAAACCGCACCGGAACGCGGCGTTAACTGTATTGAAATTATGGGACGACTGGTCGATACTGTTAATGGGGGATTGAGGTTTCGGTAAGAAGCGAAGTAACTTCGCGGCGTCGACCCTATCATCGCCGGGTTAGCTTCTTTCCGTAATATCCAACCGACTGAAAGTCGAATTTCTAGAGTCAACGTTGGATAGACATGTTTCATAGAAACTTTCTATTCAGAACCATTCCGTTGCCTATAGATGAATTTTCGACTGTCGCGTACTATCTGCAAACCGTTAAAAACACCTGTTCCCACTTCTACCGTCTAGAATTGTAAACCCATAAATTATTCTAGCTAATGTCTTCGAGATAAGCTATCCGTAATTCTAAATGTCACTAGACGCTTCGTCACCAGAATTACACAACTACACAGCCGACGAACAGTTTCTTGTCCCGCCGTTCAGGCGCGAGTCATCTAATTTCAATTATGCAACCGTTCTCCGCTGGGTTGCTGTTCTTCGTGCGTCGGTCCCGTTTCTGATTCCCCCTGGATCACGGCTGGTGTCATTATCTCGCGACACCCACGTCCATGGTGTGCCTACGCGAGGTCCGTTACCCTCGGCCGATCGTGCATCGTGAATGCGCTATGTAAATAGAGTGGATACACAATCACAGGCAAGGCTAGCAGAACGTATCGCGTAAACGGTTAGCGTTTACGGGTTAATGAAATGGATTTAGCGATACAATGGACCGCCCGCGTGCCGTGCCGCGCCGCGCCGCGCCGCGCCGCCAGTGAATATCCTCGGAGCGCAGGCCGGCCGGGCGCATGCAAATGTAAACGGGGATCGAAGTTTGAATGGCCGCACGCCCGCACGGTCTTAAGGGGGGCGATCGTTCATTAAGGGCTGTTTAATCATTCCCCCGGAGTGCGATTATCGACTCATTATCGCTCAACGAAACGCCCCGTCGGAATTAACTTGCGAATCCGCTTAGCAGCGACTCGTTCCACGCTCGCGAAGCGTCGGAAAACTTGAATGCGATTCGACTGCACCTTCGGAATGACAATATGGCAGTCTAAGTTCATTGAACTCGGTGTCCGCTGTTGTTAAACGTTTCCGGGGCTATTTCAGGCCGACGTTTTAAGGATTCGAGCATAACGGGCAGCGAGCTGGTGACGTTAATAACGTTGTTAATTAAGTAATTTAACAGTTTGAAGGAATACAGGTTAAATGTAACTGTACCTTACACTGTTAGTGAGAAAAGCAAATTGCCAACAGCAGTTCCGCTCGCCGCGTATCTCCGAGTCGTAATGGGAGCCGACAAAATGGCGCTTCCTCAGCGTTCCCCGGGAACGCGATTGTTGCGGACCGCAGCAGTTCTCGTTTCAACGGACTCGCGTAATCGAAATTTCGAGTCGAACGAAACGAGCGTGGCAACGACGCAGGCCCGATTCGGAGGCTTCCGAGCGGCGACGAAATTGAACACCCGTGCGTCAGGCACGCGCGTGGTCACGATTTTTAATGAGAACACCGTCGTGTCTGGTTTCAGGCGTACATAAAGAAGGAGCTGGGCAAGGTGGTGGTCTACACGACGACCTCCGGCATCGTTAGAAAAACCTTCTACAACTGCAAGAAAGTGAAGCAGATCCTCAGGACGCACATGGTCAAGTACGACGAGCTGGACCTGTTCGGCGATGCAGAATTGCAGGCCGAATTGAGGGATCGCCTCGGCCTGTCGACGATACAATTGCCTCAGCTCTTCATCGATGGACAACACATCGGGGTACGTAGATCCCTAACGATCGGAACGCAGGTTTTCAAGCTTCCCTTTTAAAGATTGACAATGAAAGAAGTGTACGGTAATATAAAGTTAGGCTTTGTCAGGATCTTCAGTCTTCTGAACGTCGAAGACTTTTGTGGAGTACGAATACACGAAAAGTCGCGGTCCACGGATGACGCGTTGAATAAAACGTTCGAGTCTGAATGGCTAGAATAGAGCATTGAACGTTCGACGTTCGTACAATTGAAATCTTCGAACAGGTGGAATCTTTCAATGTTGCTTAAGGAATTAAGGATGAATCTTTTCGCGTTTCACCTTCTGTCGAAGGAGTTCCTACGATCCATCATCTTAAGTGGCAAACGTTGAATCCACTCTTGAGATTCTCGATAGGAAAGGGGCTCTAATAAAAGCCGGTTTCAATCTTCGGATTGTTTATTTTATCGTAATTTCACCTACGCGTACGCCCACCTGAGGACAACACAATCAGAAGTCTCATTGAATAGCTGCTCCCGTAATGGTCAATTAATCGAGCCGAGGATAATTATCCGCGCTGAATGCAGTCCACATCACGGGCAGGTAACTAACCCTTTAATTGACGTGAAACTTTGCTCGCTGCAAATTATCGGAACAATCTACCGAGCGCACGTGTCCCGCCTCGATAAGACACGCGTTTTACAGTTATCAGTTGAACAGCGTTAAATAACAAAACGTGAGCATCTGCCGGCGATGCGTTCGACGTTCGTCGATCCTGCAACTTATCCTTGCAAAATATCGCGAAATAACGCAGCTATCATCAACATAATGATTGCTTGATGCATTTTCTTGTAACGATAATACGAGATCTTGCTTAACCGAATTGCATAGAAAAAATCTCAAGAACACCGAAAAGAGTGCATTGAAACCGCCTCGGAAACAGTCATGAACGGGAACTCTTACGCAGATATTAATTTCCATTAATCAATTTAGGAAATTAGTTCCATCGGTTCGCGTGGAATTTATTAACCCGCCGTACTCCGCGTAAAACCAGCAGACCAACCATAAAATTAGTCGGTCCGCTTGTAATTAAAATTTCCTCGCGCGCAAAAAGCTTGCCTAATTGCATCCAGGTTTTTTCTGCGTGGCCATTCCTATCGTCCGACTGTTACACGCACGCGCGAATTTCTCGCAAGGCCGATGTCGGGTTACATAATCGATGGTTATTGAACGATCGAGAAAGTCGAGAGGACGCCGCGGCGAGAGCGCCGAAGCCGCGAAATGTTAAAGATGATCGACGGCTCGTTTCGAGCGGGCCGGCAACCGGAAATCTGCGACCGGCGGCGCGCCGTTGCGCAACGCAAAGAGCTCCTTCGGCGCGCGTCGGCCGCGTGTGTCGACCTTTCATCCGTGATCGACAGATGTGAAATTGATTACGTCCCCGCGAGCGTCGGCGATACGGCCGTTTAATGGGCGGACGTGTCGGTGCGAATTTCTCAGCTGCGGTCGGGAATTTCTTTCCGTGCCCCGCTGGAAAAAGGATATCGTAAAAAGTAATTCGATCGTCGTCGCGATTGTTCGTTGAATTACAAAAGGGAGCGCGCCGATGGAACGCGAAAGCAATTCCGGTTTCTGGGATAGATCGTTAAATTCCGAAACACAGAGCGTAAGTAAACTCATAACAGAATTCCGGGCCGCTGCAACGGGATCTAGTGGCCACTGGACACGTGAAATCGCGATACAGTTGGAGGTTTTCAGTTTCGGTGTTCCCACTGAACGGAACAGATTATTTCGACCCGGCATTTTCCTCGCGATAGTCGTTTCGCGAATTATTGTACGCGTCCCGTGCTGGTTTTCTGCTTACGTTCACGGCGATACTTTTACCTTGGTCGAGTGTTCGAAGAAAGTTTCACGTCGGTGTATTTACGTTTCAGTCGCGCTCGCGGGTACACGTTGCTAATAATCGTATTACAGTGTGCGGAACTGGCTACGAGACTCGAGAATTGTTTAATAGGTTATTACAGAGCTGAGAATGTTCGTTCGCGTGGCGATTCGCAGTGGATTACGTTAATATCGCGATACGGAACATTCAAACGGAGCTTTGTTTGCGAGTACTTTATTACGTCGATTCTTTGTCCTTTCGAAACTTCTTATCGTAGTTCACATCGCTTCCGACGAACACGCTCCGAATGGAATGGGTTTCCTCAATCGCTGATTGACATTGAACGGTGTATCGAAGGAGTTGATTTTTCAGTCGAAACGTTTACCTCGGTCTTCGTTACGGCCTGTAATGAATTCCCTCGGGAATCATTAGCGATAGAGCCAGTGCGTGATCGGTTCCGATCGATTCCGTTAAAAGGTGCTCTGTAATGCCTCTCGAACAAGAGCAATTCAGTGGATCAGCGAAGCAAAAGCTTGCAAGTATCGTTCACTGTAATTACGGGCGGCCTTCGACATTCTTACAGTCCAATTGTACGGGGTGTATCGGACGAAACGCGACTGGAAAGCTGCGGGATAGGATCCGCTTGCAAAAGGTTCGATTCTTCGGAAACTCGAAAATCGAAAGTCAAACGCGGCGGCCGTGCGTATCGTAGCCACGTAAGTAGAATCGGTAAGCAATGATCAGACACGCTAGCCGCGCGTTATTCAATTGCTCGGGCACCCGACGATTATCTGAATTCAATTTCCTGGATAATGAAACCTTCGGTCGTAAAAATTTCTTTCTTCGGTTCTGTCCTACTTTTGCAGACGAAGGCAATTTGTTCCTAGGTGTACCGTGATTATCGAGACACCGAGTGTGTCGTCGTTCGATGAGAGTATTTCTTGTGTTTGGCAATGGTTTTCTTCGATTTTCATCGATGCGACTGCTGGAATATGTATCCTAATCTTCAAACCTCTAATCGCCAAGATGTAAATGGACGATCACTAATTTTTCTAGAAACAGTGGAACACATTTTTCACCGAATATCCGTAAAGTTACCGTCGAAGTCGACAGGATGGAAGAAACGAGGAACGTTCTGGATCGGAGAATTGACTAGAAACGTCGAGCAACCCGAGAAAACTAGAGTCGCGGTGAAATTTCGACAAGGATCCTCGCGACGTGTGTACGCGCCCATGTAATAATCGGATTAGACGTAGTCGTCGCCTTGGCCTAATTAACGGTACGCGATAAGACAGCGGTATAATTAATGCGCGCCGAGTGCTCGGCTCGCGGCCAATGTTGGTCAATGGAAATAGACGATAACGGAAGACGGCTCGCAGCTACTCGCAATCGTTGTAAAATATTCATAAACGGCCGGCTCGCGTCGAGTCGCCTCTCGCGATTTCATTCGCGATGGAATTCTTTCGTAATGGAAATGCGACACAGTTACGTGAGTAGCGTTGCGTCCAGAACATTCATTTTTTCCCCTTGCCCGCGCTGTCGCTGAACCAGCGCTATATTTATTCCTTGAAATTCGATGCGCGCCTCGACCGCGCATTCCGCATGCCAACACCGTCGTGCCGATGTTTAAAAGCGAAAGGAGAGGAAAACAGAAGGATGAGAACGGCGAGGCACGAATCTCGAGCGTCCGTTTCATCCCTTTCCCAGCGAACTTCGTACGAACTTGAACTTCGACTTTGTCGTCTGAAAATCAAGCGTTCGGGTATTATTCGACATCAGCTGCAGCCCAAGCTGCGCGGAATTCACCACGCAATTCGCCAAAATTAATCACAACAGTCCCAACAACTAATGCATTTTCACGTGTATACATTTTTGCTTTCATTTACGCATTTACTTCATAGCACTGCCAACTAGACAAAACCTTAAATAAAATATTGAACTGCATGACTATCGGTAATTACAACTTTTCGAGGTGGATTAAAATATGTCCCACCGTGCGTAAAAAGCTAAGCGAAGGGCGGGACAGTTTTTAACCCACCTAACCCGAAGCTCTTCGCCTGTCTCGATCGAATCGCAGCCATTTCACACTCTCGTCCGACTCGTCCGTGCAGAATCGCTCGATCGCTTGCGTTAGCTTCGAAATCGATCCCGGAACGTCACGCGGAAACATTTAAAATTCAGCTGCGGTAAGCCCCGCGGAACATATCCAATTCGAAGCATCGGCTCGCGTTTCAGCTGCGAATCAATTCCATTCTTTCCCTCCGTCGCCAATCGAATCAGTATCTCCCGTGACTTCGTTTCGCGCGACTTTCTGTATCGAACGTCGGACGAAAATTCGATTGCACAATCTTCGCCGCGTTCCTCGGCGTTCGAGGTCCGACGAAGTCTCGGTAACCCGGGATCCCCCGAAATCGATTCCGCTTGCGTGACACGTAGCCGAGGCCCGGAGTGTGCCCGGTTCAATCATCGACCGGCCGCAATTGCCCAATTTCCCGGGACATCGCCGGTTACGCGTTGATAGGAAGAAGGCGCCTGGAAGGAATGCCAGTCTAATTGCTCATAGTTGAGAAGAACGCGCGTCGTCTACACTTTCGACTCGTGTTATTCTTGCAGGATCGACGATACTTACAATCAGATTAAATCACTGATAACATCAATATTTCATTAGAATCATAACTGCGTATCTTCGAGTGAATATTCATTATATCAATCTTCATGCAAACGTTTGAGAGCACGATAGAGAAAACTTCGCAGATTGTTTGTAACAATCGTATTGCATCTCCAAATCTCCCATGGATGCATAAAAATCCACGGTCTACCCATCGCGCAACTCCCCTGTTACACCGTACGCTTTATTGCCTGGAATATATTTCCCACAAGATTTTCAAGTAAATAAACAACCAAAACACAGAGAGGGAACTCCCTTCGCCCCTCCGTCCGCCGCGCCGACTCTATCAAAGTAGGCTCATCTCCGCCGACTCGCGACAGTCGTCAGCTGTGGGGCGCGGATACGCGCGTAAAAGCGAAATGTCAGACCGCTCCAAGGCCGGTGGGCGATCGAGAGAGACGCCTGTCCGCCGGCGGAGGGAGAGGAAGAGAGAAAGGCGAAGCCGCTTGCGTTACACGGCATTACGGGCCCGCCGTCTCCCCGGCCTCTCGCGAGCGAACGCGCGCGAGCCGAGAGGCCGTGCTCCGACTGCATTCCTCCTCGACCACGCCGCGCGATTTCCATGCATTCGATCGTCCTGTTATGGACAGCCATCCCCGCCGATCCGAGCCGCGCGTCGGATACCCGCGGGACAACGGATTTCATTTCATCGCCGGCCCGCCGTTTTATGCTCGCAGATGAGCGCGGCGCGTTTAGGAGAGCGCGCTTAGAGGCTCGCTGAAACGGGTTGCCGAGTAATATCGGTCCCCGCTTTACGAGGATAGGTAAATTGTTGCGCGGAAAGTGAAAAGGCTCCGCGGGGATCGTGCCCGTTGGCACTAACCTCGATGGGTGTTATTAAATTCCGGATTTTTCGTGCGTTTCTGCTTGGTTTTGCTCGCGAACGAGAATGAGAATGTCGTGCACGCTCGATGAAGGGATAGGGAAATTTATATTTTATGCAAGGATCGAGGATGGATGATGACTCACCGATCTGTTAGTTTTCTTTGTTATTTCCGAGATGAGAAGAAAGTTCTGGGTCTCCTAGATCTAAGTCGAGATTTTCATCTAGATCGTCGAGTTGCTAAGGTTTGAATATCTAGATATAAGGAAGCAAGGATTAACGTTAAAATTACCGAGCACTTAACCCTTTGCACTCGACAGTTCACTGGAAATATTTAACATTTTTCGACGAGATACAGACGACGCTGTTTGAAACTAATTTAACGATAATTCACAGATAAATTAAGCTACAAAGCTATTTTAGTTAAATATTTCCTATAGCAATACAAAGTTTCATAAAAATACTAAATATTCAACTTTATAGTTTTCCTGTATCAAATCAAGTGGTGCCAGAGTCACCTCTCGAGTGCAAAGGGTTAAATCGACTTCAAAGTTTCTTTACAAAAGGTATCACTCAGATTAGGTATCGTTACATGAACGTCTTCAACAATTTCCCAATATCGGCACGTTTTCGTTTCGAGCCATCCGGTGGTTCCAGTGCTAAGTCCCATCGAGCAGTAATCGGTCGCCGATGAATAGATTCGCATTGTTGGCATCGATTCGCCGTTCCCTTCGCGGATTTTTCCTTCCTGGTCGGCCGTTGACGGATTAGAAACGCGGACCGCGTTCGGTGAAAGGCATCAATCGTTCCTTTTCGTAATGCCGTTGCGACAGCCGGCGCGAACATCGGCCGTAAAAACGGCTCCGGACGTTTCCTGGGCTTGGCCAGTAACGCCGCGTGTCCTTCGACGCTTTCGATCCTCCGAAACAGGACAACGCTTCGAGAGCCGAGTCGAATCGTCGGCTAATACCTATGACTCATTGCGAAACGCTGTAGCGTTCGCGCGAACTTACCTTGAACACGACGAAACACGCTTCGACGCGGCTCTCGCGGAACTGGTCGTATTCTCCGGAACACGATCGTGAAAGTTTCTCTTCTGGAAACAAGACGGGAACGAACGGAAGAAGTCACCGGAGCCCGCGAACCACCTGGAAGCCGTTCGAGTGCGCGATCGTTTAAACCGCGGAGCTTCGTAAAATGTCCGCCGCCGTCAGCCGTTGCCGCGTTTACGCGATACCGCCGAACGGTTGACGATTAAACGCCGTGAACCACGGCAAATTGCATAACAGCACGCCGAAGTGATTACAGACCCTGTTATCTGCGTCGTAAATATCTTAATACGATTTTCCTCTCGCGTACGCGTCCACGGAAAAGCGTAATACCCGCGACGCGGTACCGCAATAACGATGTACTCGCCGTAATAATCCATTACGCTGCCGCAGATTCTCGCGAGCCTGCGCGCCAGACGGAGACACGGGACAGCGAAACTTCAGAAATTCGCGTTGCCTCCCTCCCCGCCCCTTTACGTCTACGACTTTTATTAATACGAAGACACGGCGGTCTCGCAGTCATTAAAACTTCTTTCCTGTTGCAGGGATTTGACACCGTCGAGCGACTCAACGAGTCCGGCGAACTGAGGGACATGCTCAAGCCGTACCAGGTAATTAAAAGTTGCATATTAATCCCGTCGCCCATAAATTGGCGAAATTTTTCACCCCTCTTCCCGGGAATCTTGTTTATCCTATTCCCCGAGGACCGTCTCTAACCCTTTACGGACGAATGTCGACGTTACGACGAGATGGAACTTTCATATTCGGAAGACTGAGTCGTAAGCAAATGATTTAATCACTCGAATGTCAAGAGATCATTGCGTAGTTTCGTATTTTTCTATCGTTCGAGTAATTGATGCATAATTTAGCTTCGCCCGTTGAGGGTTTCATGTATTTCAGAGGATCTTCGTTCGCGAAGGGTTAAATTTCCAAGTCTCGTTCGGTGCGCGCGTTCGACGAGGAAACACGGTACACCGAAACTTCTCGAAACGTCGCGCAAACTCGTCGACGGCGGCGCGACCGCCCCGCTGTCCCTCCATACGAGAATTATTCGACTCTCGAGGAATCTCGCGTCGTTTCCGAGAATTCCGCGCGCGCGCTCTCACGAGGCGAGCTTGTCCGCGTCTCCTCGGGATATCTGTGCTGCGTAGAAGAATGGAACACCGGTGTCTCGGGCATATGACTGCCCGCATAAAGGAACCCGAGCGCCTGCGCTGACTCCGCGCGGCCCGTGCACCGCAATCCATCGCGAACGCAAGGTTGTACGATCCTTTCACTTTTATCCGACGATATCTGCCGCCACCTTCCTTTTCCACGGCGATCATAAATTTCGATGTCGTAGCAATTGAGGTTTACCTTGCAGCGAGTAAAGGTCGTTTACACTGTTTCTGCTGCCACTGTCACTTCACCGGTGCTCCTTCCGCAACCCTCAACCCTGTGCTGCCTGTGGCCGGACGTTAACGCTTCGATGTCCGTTCGCAGAAATAATTTGCGTATCTTAATGAACGCCGCGTAAATTTCAGCTACTAAAAACGCGAGCATCGGTGATTATATTGATACAGCTTTAAACATCGATTAAAGCAAAATTTCTAACTTACGGAAGAGAATAAGATATTTTGTAAATTTTAGTTTGGATTTGTGTTATATCTAAAATGTTACATAAATGTGGGATTAGCAATTAAACAACGAAAACGTTTCAATACCTGTTGATTCTGATATGCGCCGATTTCGACGGTACGTGTAAACAAATGTAAGATTTCTTGAGATAGATAGTACCTTTTATTGCTGTTATACAAATATAGAAATTGATTTTACAATTTACTAGAGAATGCCTATATCTCCAATGATTATAAAGAGACAGAAGAATTCTACGGAAATTGCAGTTCCAGCGTGAAAAGTGATATTGCCCGCCGCGAAAAACGGCAGCTGGATATGAGTTTCCCTTTTGATTTCATTTGTCCCGCGGGAGGTCCATCGGTGCTTGAATCCTCAATTGCGATCGCCGGGCATGGCTGGCTCGTTCCTCATTCAATTTTCCGCGCGGCCAGGTTTCGCCCTGCGCTTTTATTCGAGTCCTCCTGCTCGCTTTTCATTGACGGGACACGCGAATGGTAATGGCGGTGATTAAAGTTTCTTGCCGGGCTGATAGAAAAAAGCTGTTCTTCCGCGACCGTAGACAGACACGCAAGAAATATGTCAGGAAGAGATCGAGGCGACAGTTTACAGCGTTCAACATTCAAAGTGGCTGCGTCAAGTATGCCTCAAGGTCGGCAACTTTAATCAGCTTTAACGGGCAGATAAAGTAAACGGAGCTGAAAGATGATTAACTTGTTCATCAAATTGTGCAAGTTCATCTGATTAGCTTCCTCGCGGTGAAATATTTTACGCCGGGAATACGCAACGCACCGAGGGACGAAAATAAAGGGGAAAACCGTCGACGGGCTTTGTTCCGTTTCGCCGATCGACGGTTGAAGCGTATCGATCGGGCACGTGACTCGTTTCTTTGAAATCCGAATGGGCACGCGAAGGGTTCGTTGCATCGGAAAAATGCATAATTAAACGACGCCCACCGGCGCATCCTTTCCCCGGCGATCTTTACGCAACTGTTGCGTAACGTATCATCGCTATTCTCATCTTCGGCCCGTGCAACAAACGCGCGCCGCGCGACCGGTGTATAGTTTATTTCATTAACGCGTCGAATGCCAAGCGTATACCGTCATCCAGGCTCAGGTGAAACTTTCCCCGTAGAATCGTGTATCGACTTTGTGTCGATACTCCGGTAGACTCCATTTATCGATGAACAGTTTTCCAACAACAATGCTTCAAGAAATCAAACTTCCAACCTGTTTTCTTGCGATACCACCGGTGGAATGTTAATTTCCCGTTGCAAAGCAAACAGATATACTCGCCTGCTTCCCGATGGAATAAATCAATACTGGCGATAATATTGTTAAAACATTCTTCCGATAGTTGCGTCGGAATCGAATAAAATAGTTTGCCACATACCGCGAAATTCATCGGTCCATGTTATTCGAAGCCGAACGGCGCGATCGCGTCGTTTCTCGTGTTGTCGACACTGCCGCGAATTTTTCCCAAGTTATGCGGCTGAAAATGAATAAAAGTGAAAGTCAAGTTGCGCCAGCGGCCGTCGTCGAGACCGCACGGGTTCGAAATTAACGTGGAATCGAGATTGTCACGCGTGTTTTACGGCCCTCTAAACAATCCCACTTTTCCGACCGCAGCCACCGGCGCGAGAGGAAGTGCCGAAGCAAGCGTCGCAGCCGAGCGGTGGCTGGATCTCTCAATCGACGTCGTCCGCCGTTGGCCTCCGCGTTGCCCTTTCGAACTCGTTAGTCATACAACTCGCGTTAAATTGTATCGCGCGGCGGTGCGCGGCGTCCTACAGCCCCGATAACCGTATTACCCCGTCACTTTGCAATTACACCGCCCACGAAACTGCCTAACAGGCTTGGATTCCTAATTAAACTGGATGTCAAGTCTGCGTCGTTTAAAATGCCGCTAATCACCGCTGCCATCGTTGCAATTCAATTTACCCGGTAATTAGACCGCGGGTTTTATGCCTCGCGACGAACACGGTTGCCCGCGAAATTCGTCGCGGTAAAAGTTTAATGAAGCGTCGCGCCGTTGTGCCGCTTATCTCGGAATTACCTCGAACCGTCGATTGCGTCCAATAATCGTCGCGAACCGTCGACCGGCGGTGCGATAAGAAAACCGGCGCGATGATCGCGCGCGTTCCGGCGCGTCGTTCTTCCGCGAGAATCGACGAACCACGGAACGACGGAGAAAATATGATTGATGTTTCAATTTGCAGAGCGACGACGCGTGCACCGTGTGCCTCTTCTGCGGCGGCTACCAGTGGCAGCTCTGCCCGATTTGCAACGGGAGCAAGAGGTCCGTGCACCGCAACGACTTCACGGCGGAATTCGTCGCGCTGAAGTGCGCGAAGTGCGACGTGAACGGCCTGATACGCTGTCCCCATTGCTGAACGACCGGGGAACGCAACCGACGGACGCGTCGACGTTTCCTCGGAGCCGCGGCAGCCTCTACACCTCTCTCTACTTAAGACTTAAGGTGCTACCCGATCGTACGTTGCATTACACGTGAACACTTTACCTATCGTGATCCGAATCACTAAATCTCTCGGCCAGAATTCACTCACCTGTATCCGAGAAATCGGATTTCCATTGGTAACCTCCTCATCGACCGGAATCTTCGAATTCACCGCTTATCGATCGACGTTGTATCAGTCGTGGTACCGTTCACGTGTTGACTTTTATAATTGCTTTTTCATTGAATCAAGGTAACGCGTCGCGGGATTAGCGACGAGTATCCATTCCACGGATCCGTTAGGTAAAGTGTTAAGTAATTGCGTCGCGGGCTACACAGAAGTCCGTCGCATCGAACAGGCGCCCCGTCGAGCGCGCGAGCGGCGTCCTCGAGCTCTTCGTTTCTTTTTACCCGGAAGCGGCCCCGCTGTTTCCTGTTGCCAGGATAATCTCTCCCGCGGATTCCGGGAAACGCGCAACGCGAGCTGGATTCGGGAATTCGAGATAACGCGGCGCCTCTACGCTCGACCCCGACTACTGAACACGTTCCGCGGACGCTGATTGCGCGGCCGTGACCGTGAACTGTAAAATATCGGCTAATAAAGCTTATCTAACGTTTTGTAATATGCAACTGATCCGATCGTCGTTCTCTTTTCTACCCCCCCACCTCCGAGCAGTCCTCTTTTACAACGCGACGAAGATTGCGGTTTTATTGGCTACGACTTGTTCCAATACGTCGTCCTATTTTCAGCGGACTAACCGATATTGCGAAACTAGAAAATACGCATCGCGGAAGTTCTTTTTAACTCTGTAGGCGGTTCTCCGTGAGCACTTGATTCGATACAGTCGAACGATGAAATGTTATACTCGATATGAAAGCGTGATGCGTCGATATGTAAAATATTGAGATTAAATGGCTTCGTTTAATTAACGTGTGATTTCTCTTCGAGTTAGTTTCAGATATCACCTCATCAGAGAATTCGAAATACTTTAACTAGCGGGTAACTTTCGAGTCTAACGCGTTAATTACTTTAAAGAAACTTTCCTTTATATAATACCGCCGGAGAGAAATGGAGTAATTGCATTGTAACGTATTCAACTATCACCGATTTCAGCGCTAAAATATTCCTCCGACTCCGGTAAATTAAGTCACAGGATCCGATTGAAGTCACGCAACAGCTACGACTGGGAACAACGAGGGCGACCCGGACTACGGAAAACAGTGCCGTGCGAATAACAAAATTATACTGACGATAACTCAACCCAAGGCGGAGCGGTCTCGCCGGATCGTCCCTCAGGAAACGCGGTGATTCATCCAGAAGACTTTCCCGGCCCGTCGACATCCACGGAATGGAACAACGGGCATAAATCCGAGTGTCGGAGCAGTCGATCGAGCGTTGTTTACGATCCCGCGAGGCGGAAACCTCGCGGAGAAATGGAAAGCATCCGTCGATCTCGGTGTCTTCGAACGGAATCCGCCGGCAATCGGAGCGCAAAGAGTTATGCGGCACAGTTAGCGCACTTTCGCTGACTTGACGATCTGATTACCCCGCGACGGAGCCCGGCAATTAACGCGATGCCGGCCGTTTAATCCGTCACGGGCGGGGATCCGAATTTTTCCCGGCGCCGGTCGCGTGACTTATCGGACAGAAGTGTTCTCGATCCGATCTCGCCGCGGTGCCGGCTTCGCCCGCGACGCGGCGGACTCGTTCCGCTCGCGGAGGGAACAGCCTCGTAGGTCATCGATCTTCGAGCGTGCGTGGGTAACATTGTTGAGATAAGATAGATGAGATGTTCCCTGCGCGCCGCCGTTAAAGCGAGTCGAAGAGTTCCAGGCGAACGATTCAAGGACGGATAACCTGTCCCCGTCCGAATATCCCGAGTCTCCAGGATCACTCGGCCGCTCGTTCATCATTCGATGTATCGTTCCGCTGAATATTTTCGTAATAAGCGTTTCACCGGAGTGACTTGATTTCTTTCGGATACCTTAACGCGGAGGATGCTTTCTAATGTGAAACTGCGAAGATTGAAATAATAATTACACAGCGGATCTTTGAGCGTTTAGAGGGGTAAGATTTACTTTTACATTTTCTATTATTCTCCGAAGGCGATGCTTGCTGGAAATAAAGTTTCATTCGATCGCAGTTTCTCCGTTTCACCGTGGAAATCCGAATCCTCGTTGCGTTCGGGGATAATGAAGCCGCGAGGCTCGGCGATCGTCCTCGCGCTAAAAGTGAAACGTTTACGCTAAGTAAACTATACGGCCTGAGCGGATCGAATAGGAATACTTTCTCGGGAACCGGAGGAGACGACGCGATTAAGGATGAAACGTTCGCGGCGCGGAATTAGAGTCAAAGTTCCCGGCCGAGATTGCCTTAATCGGGCGACACGAGTTCCGCGGATTAGAGACTCTATTAATCGCCCAATCCCGCACGAACTTAACCGCCTTTCTCATTTCCTGAAACTCCGCGTCGCAGTTATTCAATCAACGTAGTCCCCCATTACGCTTGCACCGATGATCCGCTCGCGCTCCGTTGACTCCTTTCGGCTCACTTCCGTTTCCCTCCTCACACATCGATCGCGGTGTAACTGCTACAGCATTCTGCTCGTCGTCGCGACGAAGATCGTTTTATCGAACGCGACTCGATTTCCCGCGATTCAACCCTTTGCGGTCGGAAGGTTCTCGCTAGAAATATTCACTTTACCGGAATATTTCATACACCGACGCATTACACGAGGCTTGATACAATTCTTAATCGAATCAAGACGAACGAGAGATACTTCTCGATTGCAGTGTTAAAAAGTCGTTACATCGTAATAGAAAAATCTCTGATTTCGGAACTCCAGCAACTTTGTAAGGAAAAGTCGTGCAATATTCTCCCTGAGCTCGGTATAAAGACCGAAGCTTCCACTTTCACCTTCCGTCGGCGATTTTTTCCTAGGATGTTTTTGTCTGATGTAACGGGTGAGAAGATAAACATACTTTCTCGTTCCCGAAACCTTACGCTCGACGCTGGTAGTGTTTACCCGGGACCGATTAACACATTCCATCGGATACCCACGCGTGTGCCATTTCTTGCTCGAAAATTTCACACTCCAGATACGCTGTTCACGGTTTCGTCACGAACGGACATTTTTCCGGCGAGCAAAAAGGTTCCGCGGAGATCTGGTTTACGATTGCACACCTCATTCCGCGAGAAAAGGTCGATTTCGAGCGTTATTCCAGTCGGGCGAAAAAAAAGAGGAACGGAGGGAGGAGAAAAAGAGAGAAAGCGAAATAAAGAGGATGGAGAACGAGACGGGGACAGCACAATGGCTTCATACTCGGTCGCGTTTAATTGCGTCTGCGGTATCGCGGCATAAAGTAGGCTCCGCCGTGCCGTTCTGGAAAAAAATATAGGACGGAACAGTTTCTATGGAAGAACTGTCGCAGCGGGCGTCCAGGAAAGACGCGCTTCCGGTTCCCTCGTACCTTTAATTGCGGAACTCGGCTCGCGGAGTTCGCGTGCTGGTTGCCTACGATTTTCACACGCGTGTGAACCTCTGCGTCTTGCCGGCGGACAAGGTGAGAAATCTGACAGCGGTCCTGGGAAGATCGCTGTCTTTGCTCGCAGAAATACGAGCGCATCGCGGGAATGAAATTCGAGGTAAGTATAATGTAGATATTCACGCTTATCCGAATTGCAAAGTCGATTCGTTTCCGCCGACTAGTCGTAATCTAGTTGCAATAAAATATGGTCCATTGAAAACATGAGGTAAGGTGGCAACGCGCCACGGGAAGCTGGAACGAAACGCAGGAACTGAAGTAAATGACGAGCGGGAGAAACGGCAAATTAAATATCGATTGTAAAGGGATCGCACTTTCGACCTTACGATCGCACGTAACGTTCGCGTCACCTTATCTTTGTAAGCCAGTTTCAATTAAAATATTATTTTACCCGGCGGCGATTAAATCCGTGCAGCCGCCGGTTCGATTTTCAATTACAACGGAACAAAGTGAACGGGAAGGCGAAGCAAAGAGTCCGCGGCTGTGTCTGTTCCCTGGCTGCGCGGCAAACACAAAGGTTTAATTGGACCAATACAACCTGCTAATGGGTCTAATGTTTACCACGCCGTTGCGAATGCGGTCGCGGGTCCCCCGCAATCGAAGCGTCTTCAATTGCACACGCAATAACTCCCATCGATCACGACCTCCCCCCGAAAACGGTATTTACTCTGCGCGAGGAGTAATTAGCTGTCACAGTCCGACTGTATGCGCGACAGCAAACACCGGGAACATCCGAATCGTGGCTTCGTCGTCAAACAAACATTTCCGTCGCAGCGGAATCTCATTTGTCTTGGTTAACAATTCGGGGTAACCTCGAAGAAACACGACACCGCAGGTTTCCGTTTATCCCGAACGTCGTGAACAGCGCAGAGTGATGAATAGGGGAATCTTCATTGTCTGCCTCGCGAATCTTTGCTGTAATGATTACAACCTGTATTCCTCGTCTCGTCGTAACTGCTGTATACCTTCAACATCGCTAACGATCAGGCGAAAATATGAAACGAACGAATTACAAACGTTCCGTACTCAAGATAATCTCGAAGATTCTCATGCGTCACGTGTCAGTTCAGACGTACCCCGTCCGCTTCCCCGAAATGCTAACGCACGCGTATAAAATGAACTTCTAAGGTTCAGCAATTAATTATTCAACATACCGCCCGTCTCGCTTACCGTTCGATGTGTTTTCGCAAATAAACTCCGAAGAGCGTCGCGTTCTCGGAAGGAATAGCAAGCGCCGCGGGAGAAGCCCGTGATTCGGAATCTGTCAGAGATGATCGACGCGCTGTTATGCAACCGATCGCTCGGTGTATATAGAACGCGAGGAACGAAAATCGTGGTTCGGTAGGCGAACAGGTTCGAACAAAGCCGGTGCCAGTTATGCAAGTTCGTTAGCGACGGATCAACGGTTCTATTTAAATTCCGTTTATTAACGGTATCGGGCAGCCGGGGCTTCGCTGCGCCGGCACGCCTTCGCGTCGTCGACGGAACATCACGTACAACGTCGCGTGCGCCGGCCGCCGCTTTCGTGGGCTGACTTTTAATCCCTCCGGCCGATGGTTTGTTTAGAAATAAACGGCGGGGCCGGGTATTTTCGAAGCGCGGGAATCCTTTTAACGGCGACAAATCGCCTGCAGTGCCGAATGGCGGCTCGCCGAAGCGCCGACTTCGCCGAGCGTTGCGGAATCGCGCGAAGAATCGATACCGGGTCGGGGGCGGCTCTAAAGTTTCATCCGGCTATACAACGCGCGGCTAATTTGCGTCTACCTGGGATGAAGGTTATCGATTCGCGCACTTGACCATTAAACAATTTCACCCGCCGACCACGTGACAACTGCCATTAGCCGGACGCCGCGTCGCTCTTTCCTTAATTCTGTTAAAAACTTTGTAACGCGATGAACGCGCTTGTTGCGCTTTGTCTTTAAATGCTCCTTGTTACGAGAGTTCGCCGTTTTAAATCGTTTTGGGAGTCCAATGCTCGGGCTGGTACTATTGATTTAATACTAGGTTTACCGATACTTTTATATACCTATCTCTACCGACGCGAGTCAATTTCAGCTTTTAACTGAATCATGTTTTCTTTAAAAAGTAATTTAACGACACGATTATGCACAATGATCTCATAAATGAAACTATGAGATGTATGAGTGTATGCAAATCAGAGTGCAATCAATGTCACGGAGGAAAGTCGATTGATGTCCAGTTGCGTCTATATGATCTCCGTTTTCATCGATCAGTTCGTAGAAGCGATAACTTTGCACGCGAATTCGCAGTTGAGCCGTAACAATGTTAATCATTTATTGTCGCCGCTACGTCACGCAGACAACAGACGGTTTAAGCGGTCCGTTTACACGCGGAAGTGC